ACATTAAAACGCTAACTCACCTTCTAGCTAATCATGTTTATTTTGAGTATGTATTATGTAACTAACGCCAAACTCCCTAGCGGTGACATACAGACACCATTAATGTTGCAAAAGATTATGAAAATTTATGATCACATAAGATGTACTCTCGTGACCTAACAGAGTGAATAAATACCCTGCCATAAGCTTCCTAAACTGAGTCACGAGATATTTAGTGACCGATATAATTAGCGAATTATTACTGTTTGTCACTCGATATTGTTACTAATATAGAAAATTGAGTTTGGAGTATTTTTGTTATTGTTAGTTTTTCTCCTTCTAGTTCTTTTCCCTGATTCCATTATTTAAAATAATTAGTATTGATATATATGTTTTAATCTTCATTAACATTAGTATCAAGTCCTGGCCAGGCACGTGTTTATTAACTGTCTTTTTAGTAAGTGCTAAATTTTATTCCAAGTGTTGTTACAGTTTAATAAATCGTGTATTTGTTGTTAAACCCTGGTTATAGCAGTATGTTATTTTAGACCGTTACAACTAGTCCTTCTGGGCTACTACATAATTAACTAGTCCTACAGGGCTACTATATAAATGTACCAATCTTATCCTCAGACATTTTGTAAGATTTTTCATCTATAATTAGTTGTTACAGGTAAACGAACTTATTTGTTGTCGGTGTACTGATAAGTAGATGATCTTTTATCAACAACCTGTAAACAATACCCGCTATGTGTTAGAGATAATTTTGAAACACAACGGGTGTTCTTCAGACTGGAAATATGTGAAATCCAGGTACAAATCCGCAAGTTATCAGTTTCATTTTCCGTGTCTGATAAACATAAAAAATGCTTTTAGTGTTATTTAGAAAACACAGATATTTTGTGACGTCACCTAAATAAACTTCTAGATATGAAACTCGAAGTTTAGTTCATTCTTTCATCACAACACAGATTGATACCCTACAGTTGTACTCATTCAAAGATATTCGTACCAGGATGGTCGGAGTATTTTCTTACTCCATAAGATTGGTGATATTTCAGTGTGCTATGGGAATGAAAATTGTAAACATTAACAGTGCTGAGACAAATCAGATTTCTGATATACAATTACAGGATACATGGAAAACCCAGTCGACCCAAAACGGCATCGAAAACATGGAAACGCTTCAGATATTGTTTTCTGAACACAGTTACAAAGGGAACGTTTCGTCAACTCCAAAAGAAAACGGATTGGGCAGGGCAACTGAAGACGTAATAACATCGTCTCTCTCAACTCCTAGTAAGTTATATAACACAGTTCTCTCAACCTTTAAGGTATATAACACAGTTCTCTCAACCTTTAAGGTATATAACACAGTTCTCTCAACTTTTAAGTTATATAATATAGTTCTCTCAACCTTTAAGTTATATAACACAGTTCTCTCAACCTTTAAGTTATATAATATAGTTCTCTCAACCTTTAAGTTATATAACACAGTTCTCTCAACTTTTAAGGTATATAACACAGTTCTCTCAACTCCTAGTAAGTTATATAACACAGTTCTCTCAACTTTTAAGTTATATAACACAGTTCTCTCAATTCCTAGTAAGTTATATAACACAGTTCTCTCAACGTTTAAGTCACATAACACAAAACGTATATTGTTGTATTCTTACTCAGAAATATCAACACGAACTTTTTGCAAAACTCTTTCCTCCAACGTTCAGAAAGAACAAGTGTCCAGGGTATGTAGTTGATCTAAGAAAGAACAAGTGTCCATGGTATATAGTTGATCTAAGAAAGAACAAGTGTCCAGGGTATATATAGTTGATCTAAGAAAGAACAAGTTGTTATTTTTATTATTGTTGTTGTTAGTTTTTACTTGAATTAGAAAACAATTTTAAACAGTTGTCTAACTAGTTGCCCTTCAAATAGTAAAGTAACGCTCTCGATTATTCAGTCATCTAGAACGTTGTTCAAAGTGACTGTAGGAAGTAAGGTCATAGAGAAAAGTATCATTGTTCTAAATTACTGTAAGAGGTAGGAACCTATAGAAAAATATCAGTGTTCTGAATGACTGTAAGTGGTCGGGACCTATAGAAAAATAGTGTTCTAGAGCTGTGTTCTAAATGTCTGTAAGAGGTCAGGACCTAGAGGAGAATATCAGTGTTCTAGAGCTGTGTTCTAAATGTCTGTAGGAGGTCAGGACCTAGAGGAGAATATCAGTGTTCTAGAGCTGTGTTCTAAATGTCTGTAAGAGGTCAGGACCTAGAGGAGAATATCAGTGTTCTAGAGCTGTGCTCTGAGTTTAAGATTTTAACCACGGTTTTAAGTTGTCCTATCTGATGATCGTATATCACGACGACAGCTCTGCAGAGTAGTTTGTATTACGAACGGCTCCGTCATAATGCAGTCTTGTTCAAAGCACACCACTTGACCCTGCATGCTTTCCGCAATATATTATTAATGTGCACAATAAATCTTTTTTGTTGTTCTTCCTCTTTAGGTTCGACGACAGCATACAGTTGCATCACCAATAAAGACTGTGTTATCTACAACCACGCTTGGTGTTTCAGTAACCGATGTCTGTGTAAAACAGGATATGTTTGGTCCAGCAAGCGTGACAACTGTTTAGAGACAGGTAAGCAACTGATCCGAGTGTAGGATAAAAAAGACTGATATATGTTTATGGAAATTAAACTTGTTTATAATAAGAAATGTTTTTAACGATATTGGATGATAATATCGTAAAAAGTGATAACATCGTTAACAGTGATCATATCGTTAAAGTGATAACATCGTTAACAGTGATGCTTCATTAATTGATAGACAGTTCTGGTTCTGGTAACATACATTAATTTAACATATCTTTTAATTCTAACATGGGTATTCTAAACACGTCTGTCAACTAAACATACCACAGCTTAAAACACATCACATAGTCAACTGAACATAGCACATAGACGGGTAGACATGACACCAAATAAACAAAGCTGTAAACTCAATATATCACAGCTTATTATACGTTACGTAGTCAACTGAAAATGCCACATACACAGGTAGACATGACATCTGATAAATATATATGTAAACTGGACATATCACAGCTTATTATACGTTACGTAGTCAACTGAAAATGCCACATACACAGGTAGACATGACATCTGATAAATATATATGTAAACTGGACATATCACAGCTTATTATACGTTACGTAGTCAACTGAACATGCCACATACACAGGTAGACATGCCACATGATAAATATGTATGTAAACTGGACATATCACAGCTTAATAAACGTTAGATAGTCAACTGGATATGCCACATACAGAAGTAGACATGACACCAGATAAACACGGCTGTAGACTAGGCTTATCACATCTTAATATACGTTACGTAGTCAATTGAACATGCCACATACACAGATAGGCATGGCATCAGATAAAAATGACTGTAAACTAGACATATCACAACTTAATGCACATGACAGTCAAACAATAACATAACACATCCAATTAAATATGGAACTTTTAAAAAACATTAAACAAAACACAGTTAAGATGGCTTATCATATCCAGCTAAAGATGACAGTTAAGAGAACTTTCCAGTTAAATATTCTTAAACATGACATAGTTAATTAGGAAAAATTATTACATCGAGTTAAACATGACAGTTAAGAGAACTTATCATACACATCTATTTAATCGTGATATTTAAGAGAATTTATCGCAAAGATCCAATTAAAAATGACAGTTATGAGAACATATCAAACAAATCTAGTTAAACATGACATTCTTAATTAAGAGAACTTATCTGATCCAGCTAAACCTGACAGTTAAGAGAATTTATCTCATCCTGCTAAACATGGCAGTTAAGAGAATTTATCTCATCCTGCTAAACATGGCAGTTAAGAGAACTTATCTCATCCAGCTAAACATGACAGTTAAGAGAATTTATCTCATCCTGCTAAACATGACAGTTAAGAGAATTTACCTCATCCTGCTAAACATGGCAGTTAAGAGAAATTATCTCATGCAGCTAAACATGACAGTTAAGAGAACTTATATCATCCAGCTAAACATGACAGTTAAGAGAACTTATCTCATGCAGCTAAACATGACAGTTAAGAGAGTTTATCTCATCCAACTAAACATGGCATTTAAGAGAACTTATCTCATGCAGCTAAACATGACAGTTAGAGAACTTATCTCATCCAGCTAAACATGACAGTTAAGAGAACTTATCTCATCCAGCTAAACCTGACAGTTAAGATAACTTATCTCATGCAGCTAAAGATGGCATTTAAGAGAACTTATCTCATGCAGCTAAACATGGCAGTTAAGATAACTTATCTCATCCAGCTAAACATGACAGTTAAGAGAACTTATCTCATCCAGCTAAACATGACATAATCTGAGGCTTACATGGTCTATTTTGTTTTATGAGTTTTACTTAAGTTAGCTATTGTTCGAGGTTAGCTGTTGTTTGACGATAGCTGCTGAACATGTTTGGCTACTGATTAAGGCTAGTTAATACACATGGTTCGTGGTTGGCTACTGAAAATTGCTAGCTAATTAACACGATAACTACTGGTCAAGACTCATTACTCGACACGACTAATTACTGGACGTGGCTAGCTGTTGATCAAGGCTGGTACTGATAGTTTAATAACATGTTATTTAACTACAGCATAATTTAAACAAAGTGAGGAAAGAATATTTTCTCTTTATCAAAAAGATAGAAATGAAAAGCTGAAAAAAAAGCCAATCTCCGATAAAAGTATAAATGGTAGTATGAATAAATTCTACTCTTTATTGAGGATAACAAGTTTGAAAGAGTTTTTTGTGTAAAAGGGTAATCTGTATGAAGGCTAGGCTGTGTAATGGATAATCCGTGTGAAGGCTAAGCTGTGTAAAGGATAACCCGTGTGAAGGATGGGCTGTATGAGAGATAGGTTGTTTAAAGGATAACCCGTGTGAAGGATACATTATGTAATGGATAATATGTGTAAAGGATAATCTATATGAAGGATAGGCTGTGTAATGGATAACCCGTGTGAAGGATAGATTATGTAATGGATAACCCGTGTGAAGGATAGGCTGTATGAGAGATAGGCTGTGTAATGGATAACCCGTGTGAAGGATAGATTATGTAATGGATAATATGTGTCAAGGATAATCTATATGAAGGATAGGCTGTGTAATGGATAACCCGTGTGAAGGATAGGCTGTGTAAAGGGTTCTCTATTAATATCTGAATCCCGTATGGTAGTCACTAGGTCACATATTGTCTTAAAGATAACTGTATAATGGGTAGTCGGAATAAAATGTAATTTCTACAGCGTTTAATCTTCTGAAGTGTCTGTTACAACAATATAAATTTATACAGCTTGTGCAACTGTTTGTATCTGTGTGTCGTCAAAAGTACTTTCAATCGATTGTGTACAAGTTGTCAGTTTTAAAACCTCATAACGACTAGTTATCTTTTGTTTGTAATCTGCAGATAAACACGTGATATATTTCAGCCAATTATATCTTCTCCATTGTTATCACAGTATTAATCATTATATGCTGTTTTTAATAGAGTGTGTGTAGCAACGTATGGATTACGCCACTGTTGTTTACTGGAAACTATATTTATAGTTGTAGTTCTGGAAAACAATATCATTAATCTTCATAAAATAACACAACTAATCTCAACAGAGTCATGATGTTTGACTACTTCCGTATAAACGGAACATCACTGAGACTGTCGTCAGTTGATAAACTAGGAATTGTTGGTACGTCATATTCACGAAAGTGGACACTTGTCATACAATATAAATACTGCATCTTTACAGTTAGGGTTAGCTTTCAAGTGTTTCACCCATATGGCTCCCTTAATATAAACACAGTAAGTTGAATGCGAAATTCAAAGAAATACCTGCCACGAGATTTTATAACTGAACAAAGTGTATACAGTGAGCTACAGACAACAGTGTAGAACACACTAGAAGAAGCTGTATCTAGAGCTGTATACTTCTGACAGTATACAGTGAGCTACAGACAATAGTGTACAACACACTAGAAGAAGCTGTATCTAGAGCTGTATACCTCTGACAGTATACAGTCAGCTACAGACAGTGGTGTACAACACACTAGAAGAAGCTGTATCTAGAACTGTATACTTCTGACAGTATACAGTCAGCTACAGACAACAGTGTATAACACACTAGAATAAGCTGTATCTAGAGCTGTATACCTCTGACAGTATACAGTCAGCTACAGACAACAGTGTAGAACACACTAGAAGAAGCTGTATCTAGAGCTGTATACCTTTGACAGTATACAGTGAGCTACAGACAACAGTGTAGAAGACAGTAGAAGAAGCTGTATATCTCTGACAGTATACAGTCAGCTACAGACAACATTGTAGAACACACTAGAAGAAGCTGTATCTAGAGCTGTATACCTCTGACAGTATACAGTAAGCTACAGACAACAGTGTAGAACACACTAGAAGAAGCTGTATCTAGAACTGTATAACTTTGACAGTATACAGTCAGCTTCAGACAACAGTGTCGAACACATTAGATGAAGCTGTATCTAGAGCTGTATACTTCTGAAAGTATACAGTCAGATACAGACAACACATTAGAAGAAGCTGTATCTAGAGCTGTATAACTCTGACAGTATACAGTGAGTTACAGATAACAGTGTAGAACACACTAGAAGAAGCTGTATTTAGAGTTGTATACCTATAACAAGTTGGTAGTTCTAAACCTGTGATATTGATAGTAAAGCTCATTAGTATACTTCAAATTTAGAAACAGAACGCTATCATTTTGAATTTTCGAAATAGTTATCCATTGTATTGTGTTTTAGAATACCTTATATGGATTTGGTGTTACAGACAAGTATGCTAGAATACTTTATATGGAGTTGGTGTTACAGACAAGTATGCTAGAATACCTTATATGGATTTGGTGTTACAGACAAGTATGCTAGAATACTTTATATGGATTTGGTGTTACAAACAAGTATGCTAGAATACCTTATATGGATTTGGTGTTACAGACAAGTATGCTAGAATACCTTATATGGATTTGGTGTTACGGACAAGTATGCTAGAATACTTTATATGGATTTGGTGTTACAGACAAGTATGCTAGAATACCTTATATGGATTTGGTGTTACAGACAAGTATGCTAGAATACTTTCTTTGGATGTAGTATGACTATATTATTTTCTATATTTTTTTACCGCAGATACTAGAAACTATAATGTTATCATGACTGGAGTGGCCATTTCTGCAGTGGTGTTAATCCTCTTATTCTCTGGATGTTACATGAAAAGGTACGTAGACGTGTTATTACATTAAAAGGTAAATAAACGTGTTGTTACATGAAGAGGTAAATACACGTGTTGTTACATGAAGACGTACGTAGACATGTTGTTACACGAAGAGGTAAATAGACGTGTCTGTAAATACAGTTTATTTATTGTTTAATTATATTATAATGTTACGACAGCGGAAGTCACGTGACGCTCGGAAGCATGCGCTCTGGAGTTTCTAGAAGGATCAAGACTGTTCCTCCCAACTCTAGTCTTTTCTAGGCGCCCTCTATTTTAATATATAAGACAGGCAAATAAAGCGGAGATATAATTGCAGACAGGGAGATATAAAGACAGATAATCGAGTCAAGTGAGCGGTAGTGACCGTAAGTAAAGTGCGTGAATGGTTGTGAATTAAAGCGTGTGTTCAAGTTAAAGATACTGTAGAAATTCTGTGTATTATAAAGTTGTATCGAGAAATAATAAACTAGTTTTAGTTAAGAAAGGACTTGTATCGCTGAAGTTTCTCGGAAAGATTTTATACCGGAAATTAACAAACAAGCAGATACGTAACAAATTGGTGTCAGAGAGTCAGAGAGTGGGATAGAGAAAAAAAAAGAAGACGATGGAAACGAGAGGTGGCAAATCAAACTGCAGCTTAGCAGATTTGATGGCAGCAATACAAGAACAGCAAAAGAAACAAGAAAAACGAGAAAATAAACAAGAAGAGAGATTACACCAGTTGTTGGAGGAAAAAGAAGAGAGACAACAGCAGTGGCAAGAAAACCTGCAACAGTGGCAGCTCGAACAGCAAAATAAACAAGAGAGAGAGACTACAGCAGTGGTTGGAGGAGAAAGAAAATAAACAAGAAGAGAGATTACAGCACTGGAAACTGGAACAAGAAATGAAACAGCAAGAAAGTCTCCAACAGTTGCAGGAAAGTCAGCAGCAACTACAGGAAAGTCAACAACAGTGGCAAGAAGTACAAATGGAAAACATTAGCAAATTTCAAAGTGAATTAAAGACATTAAATGATGATTTACTGTATTTTACACAAGGAGGATATATTAGCCATGGACCTAATCAGCCTCAGGCAACGGGAAGCCCCTTCCAGACCCCGCAGCTAAACCCTAATGCAGACATCTTCAATCCTGCCAGACTGGGAAGGCACAGTGGGAAGCATATAGAGCACAATTTGAGCTCCTGGCAGAAATGAAAGTGTTAAAAGAGAGGTTGGACTAACCAGGTGCCGTCAAGCTGAAGTTAAAGTGACTGAAGAAGTTGATGATGGTGAAGTGGAGCCAAATATAGATATTAAAGCAGAACAGAAGAAAGACTAAGCTTTGAAGCCAATAATTGATTTTATAAAAGCAAGTGTTT